GCGATCAAGGCTGTCTCGGTACCATGCCCCGGCCTAAAGCCAGACTGTGCCGGATCTAGATATTCCGTGTCTACCAAGAATGCCTGGAGTTGTGAGGCCACCACACGTTCCATGACTTTGCCCAAAAAGGGGAGATTGGAAACAGGCCGATAGTTGACGAATTGAGTGGGGTCCAGTGATGGCTTCTTCAACAGCGGTTTTATTACAGCTTGCTTTAAGCTGGCTGGAATTTTGCCTTCCCGAAGGGAGGCATTCACCACCACCTTCACCCACTCGGCCAAACCCCTCTGGCCTCCTTTAGAAGCCAGGATGGGCAGGGGTCTAGGATGCATGTGGTAGCTCTCATTCCTCCAAGCACCTTGTCCACATCCTCGGATTGAACCAATTGAAATGAATCCATCAAAACCGGACAAGCAGATGCTCGTGTTACATCCTCAGATACTGCCGTTAATATGGTATCCAGTCCAGAGCGGATCAAAGCGACTTTGTCTGCGAAGAACCGAGCAAAAGCTTCGCAGCGAGCTGCCGAGTCATCAGGGCACCCATCCTGAGTGGCGGGTGTTAATAGGCCGCAAAGGCTTTGCAGCGAGCTGCCGAGTCATCAGGGCACCCATCCTGAGTGGTGGGTTTTAATAGGCCTCTGACAACTCGGAACAGTTCAGCCGAACGGTTCTTCGCAGACGCAATAGTGGCCGCAAAGAAGGTTTTCGTTGCGGCCTTTATTGCCGCGGCATATGCCCTTAAAAAGGACACAAACCGTGTTCGGTTTGACTCGCTCGGATCCGAACGCCACACATTTGCCACAAATATGCAGTGAGAACCTCTTTGATTGTACGTGAACTATAAATCTAATCAACTCCAACTCCCTAATGTCACAGTCTATTTTCCCCAAACTCCACCAGTGTTCAAATTTGGGCATATTGCATATTCGTGCCAAGTTTGTCCAGATCCATAGCTGTTTGGGTTCACAGTACTCTCCAGATGTAAGCAAACTACATCTCCCCTAAATCACTGTCAATTCTTCCCAAACCACTCCAGTATATTCTGTTTGTCATGGCAGTTCTGTGTGCCAAGTTTGGTCCAGTTCTTTAATTCCTGGGGGTCTCAGTAGTCTGTGGAAGTCAGAGCAGAATTGATTGAAGGTACTGCAAATCCCATCATTCATTGCCCATACTCCCCCAAACATATTGTTTTTGTGATTCATCACTATGCTTTAATTATATTCAATCTGTAACAATGAAAATGCATCCTGCATATCAGATATTTACATTACAATTCATAACAGTAGCAAAATAGGACATGTGCAGTGTGCATAGGAATTTGGCCATCGTTTTTTTTAAAAAAACTATAGTCCGGCCCTCCAACGGTCTGGGGGACAGTAATCCGGCCCCCCTTTTAAAAAGTTTGAGGACCCCTGCTCTAGTATATGGCTTTGAAGACCTTTGTGTTTATGACAGTGCCCTTCTTCCTCCTGCAGTGAAAATTAAGATGGCCTACCTGAGGTTTTCTAGGAGTCACCCATCTGGGCCCTGATCAAGACCTAAATCTGTTTAGTTTTAGGAAGGCTGTGAAGCCTGTGCCTTCAGGATTTAGTAGAGTTAGAGGTGGGGTGGGGGAGAGCATAGGACCATCATCTGTTGTTGAGCACTTCTGGTTATCCAAGAGGATCTAAGGCTCCTTGCCTCTCTTAACTTTTGCCTAGGGAAAGAGTTAGATCTGTGTCTTCTGTGAGTCAAAATAAATGTTCAATTCTAAAAGCTGCTGCCATGCTATACCCATAAAGTAGGCATGGGCAAACTTTGCCCCCCCAGGTGTTTTAGACTTCAACCCCCACAATTCCTAACATCTGGTAAGCTGGCTGGGGTTTCTGGGAGATGAAGTCCAAAACACCAGGAGGACCAAAGTTTGCTCATGCCTGCCACATAGCATCCAGAAAGATCCAGCTCAGTTGCCAAATAAAATAAAATTTTAAACCACAAAGTTTCTAGCCCTTGATATTGTTTGTGCTGTGCTGTTTGTGCTTCTCTTTTGGGACAAGGGCTTGAAAGAAGGGGATTAAGCAAAAGTGACATGATCCAGGGAGTATTGTGGAAGATTGTGTAAGTGTTCTGCCTTCCTGCTCATGTCTTGTGTCCTAATAAGTGTCTGAAAGAGGACAGACTTGTCCACAGTGTTGGTTTGTGGAATTCTTGATTGTCAGGTATCTGATACATTTCTCTTCCCTTTTAGCTACTGGAAGATTTAGATGAGCAGCTGAACTGCACAGGATTTGAAGAGGCAGCCATCTCTCGTAAGATCAAGTCTGGTAAGCAGCCACTCAGACTGGAGGAAGACGAGACTTATGTGGACTTGACCAATCTTTAGCATTCAAATGAGGAATCTTTGGACCTCCAAGTGTTTTGGAATTCTGTTCTCACAAGCTCTTGACAGCATGGCCAGTGGTTAACAGCTTGTGGGATTGCAGTCTCAAATATCTGGAAAGTGATTCCTCACTTCAGTCCTACTGTTTTGAAAGTCTGGAAGGAGCACCAGCCAGATTCCTCTTCCTTTTGATCCTGATTCAATTTTTTTTAAATAAACTTTCCTTTCTTTCTATCTCTACATTGAACAGGGAAAACTTCCTGCTGGCTCAGCTTTGACATGGAAGTGTTGAGACAACAATATCTGGCAATTCACGCACATCGCATAACGCTGGGTAAGAATAAAGCGGAGTGGGAAAAGGAATTGGACCAACCTTTCTATCTATATAGAGTAGCCTCACCTAACTTGATACCCTCCTAATGGTAACAGTCCCGATCATCGCCCAAAGTTCTTCTGGCTGATGTAGCTTGTAGTCCAACAAATCAGGAGGGCACCAGGTAGCTAGTATGTATTTTGTTCTGCTGAGACAATGGGAATCAGGACTTTCTTACAGTTACAGTTTTTAAAATGAAAAAATATTAATGTTTGTGTCAAAGAGAAGCTGTTTTGTTGCATGGATGAATTAGGTTGATAAAGCAAGTTTGTGTTAATGGTACCTTTGATCAATTCTAAGATAGGTCAAGAAAGCTATAAGAGTACTCAGTTGTCTATCTGCATTCATGCATGCATCTGCCTTTAAGACAGTTTGGGGAGCTGTTATGCTTCTAGCCAGTCATTTTGCATCTTTTGATTTTGACAGAAACGCGCCGCAAAGCTTCAGCCTGGCAACGGAACTTGGGCTACCCATTGGCCATGTTGTCTTTGCTATCTCTGACGGTAAGTGTGGTCATTAGTTGCTCCCTGATGGTAAATGCTGAGACAAAAATCAGCAAGGAAAGTTCTTTGGAATACATACAGTCTTTCATGTTTATCGCCTAGTCCATTTCATAGCATTATCATCATAATCCTCCAAATACTGTTTGGAAAATTACTATTCTAAAGCTTTTCCCATGGTGTGCAGCTGCCTTGTGTGGATTAGGGAGGGTTGGAAATGGCAATTCACTTTCATTTTGCATGTTAGAAAGGGGACAGAATGGTTAGATCAGTGGTTCTCAACCTGTGGGTCCCCGAATGTTTTGGCCTTCAACTCCCAGAAATCCTAACAGCTGGTAAACTGGCTTGGATTTCTGGGAGTTATAGGCCAAAACACCTGGGGACTCACAGGTTGAGAACCACTGTGTTAGGGAGACATCCTGTTTCTGGCTATATATCTGTAAGCTGTATGAATATCAAGGTTCCAATTTTAGCTCTGTTAGCTGCTGATAATCCTCTTTTCCGTGGATTTGGCTAATTCCTTTTTCTAAACCATAGTAAGATAGCAGTTGAATTAAGAGCACATAAATCAACACTTTTAAAATTCCCCTAGATATAGAAAACTGAAAATAAAGGTTTTCCCACACAACAGAGCAAAGAGGTGTTCGGTGTAACTCTGGAGTAGCAGCAAGAGTTTTGTTGTTACAGTAAACTCAGGTGGCTCTGCTTGAAAAGGTGTGTGTGATGTCTAGTTCAGCCTTAGACAGAGAAGCCTCTGGGAGGCAACAAGGAGCCACACTATGGAGGAAGCTTTATAAAAACTTCACAACACATGGTTTGAAGCAAGTGTCCATTGTTGAATTTCTACGGAAATGGGGGTCAGATTTAGTGTTAAGGAATTAATTTACTCAATAATTTGCATTAATATATACCCAAAAGAATAGCTGTACTTGTTGAAAAGATTTCTGCAGATTTAACTGTGTAGGACTGGGACTTAAGGTGCTGTTTTAAGATCTCTCCCCCTCCCCTACCTGGTTGGCTTTTGCAGGGCATCTCTGTTCTTGTTGTCTGTTTCCATGTTTTGGAGCTGCTGCTGGATGATGCTGCAATGCCGAGAGGAATCCAGGTGAGAGAGAAAAGGAATCACTTGTCATTCCTTTAGCTGCTATCTCTGCTACATTTGTTTTTCTGTATATAAAATATGCAGGATGGGTCAAAAGTGACAAAGGGGTCCTATATATACTGTATATGATGCTATGGTATTGTAAATTAAAAAGAAGAAAAAATAAAGGTGTGATTAAATATTGAAGCCCCTTTGTGACCTTTGGCCCTCCTGTAGATTTAAAGGCTTCGTGGGCCCTCATGAATAAAAACCACTCTAGAAATTGTCATCTCCCTCCTTTGCATTCATTCAGAACTGTGTGTTTTCTCAGTGCTAAGAAAAACCAAATGTGGGCTGAAGATAAACTGAGTCCTGGAACTTGTATAAATTGTATACATTATTGGCATAAAATATTTCGGTTAAGCAGATTAGTTAATGCCTGCACCATCATACAAGCAGACTTCTTCTCATCCATTGGAGCTCTCTGTTTCTGGAGGCCTTTAAATACAGGTTGGATGGGCAACTTTCAGGAGTGCTTTGGTTGTGTATTCCTCCACAGCAAGGGATTGTACTAGATCAGTGATGGGCAACCTTTTGAGCTTGGTGTGTCAAAACACGCCAAAAACCTGAGCATAACTCAGGTGGGGTGTCACTTCGAGAAAAAAAACCAATATAACAAAAATATATTATTGTAATATATAACTTTATTTAATAAACCAAAAAGCTAATTATTTAACTTACTTGCTTTTTTCTATAATGTCATATATCTTGGCATTATAGAAAAATGCTGGTGCAGGAGCTGAGGATGAAATGTCCTTCTCGGGATGCGGCCCCATTCTTCTGTGTATGCGGCCGCATGCGGTCGCGTGTCATCAAAAATGGCTACATGTGTCAGTGCTGACACAAGTGTCATAGGTTCGCCATCATGGTACTATATAGTTCTTTTGGTCCCTTAAAACTCCTCCATGAACCTCTCCCATCTTTAAATCCAGAGAATTCTCAGAGTAGATTTGAGGGTGTATGGAAGGTGGGATGGAGGGCATCTCTTCCTGTTCTGCTGGTGGAAGAAGGCCTCTCATCAAGGCTAGATGTGAACAATGTTTGGCTCTCCAGATTTTGTTTGATTGCATCACTGTGCCCAGCCAGCAGCATCATTGGCGAGGAATCGTGTGAATTGTGGTGCAACAACTTCTGGAGGGCTCTGTGTTCCCTAGCCTTGGTTATCTACACTGCTGGCCATAAAGTTTTGAAATCTAAAAAGAAAGGGGAGGGCACTGCTAGCGTGCCACGTAGGAGTTTGGTTTTTAATATCAAAATTCAGGTTCTTCCAACATACATACATACATACACACAGATAACTTCTGGACCTGTCTAGCTGTGAAGGAAAAAATGAATCCAGAAGGATTCTAGGGAGTTATTCATTCAGTTTCTTTTTTCTTTCTTCCCCCCCAGTTTATGTTTCTCTTTGTTCCTTCCCTTCACAGGATGCACCGCTGGGGAAAGTTTCCTTTTCTGTCTTTGGCTCTTTTGGAGCAGCTTTGCAGGTGATCCTGATATTGTATCCTTTTGCACCACCTTTTGGGATGTGAATGTTGCTAGGAAAGTTCCACTGGCAAATCCCTTCAGTTTCCATTTGTGTTTTCTTGTCACAGCCTCCACACTCCGCTTCTTGGGTTCTCCTAAACACTCTTCTCTGCTCTCCTCCTTTATTGCCATAGAAGTCTACCTCGGCTGCTTACCATGGTTATCAAAGTGTGTCAGGGATATTTTTGGTAGGGAGATTTGGTAGTAGCAGGACACTGGCAGCATGGCTTTGTAATATAGCATAGCCCAGTTGGCCTCACTAAGAGTGGTTCTTTCCAGGTGTGACTCCAGATAGACACCTGCTCTGGAGGCCAGCCATCCCCAAAGGCTCCATATGGATTGTCTTTTCTTCTGAGCAAAGGACTATGCAAAGGACATTTGGATGGTGGCAGTAGGGTGTGGAACTTATGGTAGCAAGTAGAGGAGTAATACATAACATCAGCCCCTTTCCTCCCAGCTTAGTGATTCCTCCTCTGGCATTCTTCCTTAATATTCCGCTGTCTTAGCTATCTAATGGTTTCCTCTGTTGTGGGGTTCTACAGCTCCCCTCTCTTCACCAAACTACTACCTGAACGGCATGATACAGCCATGACTAAGGTAAGTCTTGCTATTGTATACAAAGCATTTGAAAATAACCTACTCCCACTGGGAATCTCCCTTTGGGACACGCCGTTGGATTAATTGCCATGATATCATTGAATATGCTAGAAATCTAGTAGTTGGCAGAAGACAAAGGGAATGTTGTTCAGAATATGGTACAGAAGTGTTGGAGTTTTCCCTCTAAAAGTGGGTCAGGATGAGGAAACCTCACCCAGAAATTGGAGAGCAGATAAATTGTTAGTGAATGGGATTGGGAAACTCAAAGGATTGAAAGGTTGAATTGACACTGAGTGGCAACAGAGACATCCAAAGGCTTTTGCACTCAAAAGATTGAGAACCTAGCTGAGAACCTAAACCACTGTAGTTCAGATACTAAGCTTGGGCAATCCATGATTCTAAATGGTTCTAAAGTACTTACAAAACTAAAGTTCTGGTGGTGAAAATTTCAGAACTCTAACAAAACTTTCAAAATTTAATTATTATTTCATTATTGGTGATTTTAATGACAGAACCAATTAGGAACTGCCATTTATTATAAAATTTTGAGAGTTTTGTTAGAGTTCTGAAATTTTCACCACCAGAACTTTAGTTTTGTAAGTACTTTAGAACCATTTAGAACCATGGATTGCCCAAGCCTATCAGATACTACATACTTAGCTAGCTTCTGGTGTTAGTAAAGTGAGTGTAGGGGGAAGGGAAGGGGGGGGGGGTGATCAGAAATGGAGTTTGTGCAGAAATGGAGTTTGTCCTTCCTCATGGTCCTGTGGGAGGCCTTGACCACATCATGAATAGAAGTAGCTTGCAAGCCAGGGATGGTGCTGGGTAATAGGAGGATGCCAGAGGCTGCTGGCATCTCTGGTCAGTGCTTGAGCTGTCAATGCCACACTGTGCTATAGATGGTCTCTCTGTACCTCTCCTGATCCCTCCCCACATGGCATCAAGAGAGTCTACAGTTCTAGGAGAGTTACTAGTCTGAATTCTTTGGTGGCTAGAGGAAAAAAAAACATAATAATATGATAACCACTATGTGTCAGTACAGTCATATGTGATCCAGGATCTACCTTTCCCTTTCTCCTCTTGGGGAAGTTCTTCCCATTTCATGGCTGGGCTGAGGAGATGATCGTAAACGAATAGCAAGAACCTAGTGTTGTGCAGGCCTACAAGGGGAGGGATGCCGACAGTGGACAGGAAGATCACAAATGGCTGTTTTTCAAGCTGTGCTTTTCCTGCAGATCATTGGGAACTGTGTCTCCCTGCTGGTGTTGAGCTCCGCACTCCCTGTTTTGTCTCGTACTTTGGGTGAGTCTCCTCCTCCACTTTGTTTATGGAATCCTCCCCAGCTTCCGGAGGCTGCCAGATTAAAGCAACTGTTTTAATCTGTGGAAAATTGACTGATAGCCAGGGGTTCTATGCTTTTGAAAATGGAAGAAATAAAATCTAAATGGCGTGGGTTTAAATTATGTGGGTTCAATTATGTTCGTTTGCTTTGTATGCATATTTCCACCTCCACTTCCACTTATCTTTGGGAAGAATCTGAGTAATGACAGGATGTAGGAGATCTGTCCCCAGAAAAAGTTATTTCATTTCTGCTTTTCATTTCCAAGGCTTCAGCAGGCACTGGCCTGCACTTATTTCCAGAATGATATAATTTAGAACCTTGCTTTTTAAAAAGTGGCAAGAATGCTGCACTCTGCACCTGGTTTCAGAGTCCATGTTCTTTCTCTCTCCATGTACTTATGAGATTGTAAAACGCAGTGAGCTATGATGTCCCTGTAATTGATTTTGATAAATGATCCTGTGATAAGATCATCATAAGTTTGAAGTGACCTGAAGGTACACAACAACAACAGTTAAGGGACATTCGTACAGTTGTGAGGAATTGGGATAGGATAAGTGACAAGGGGCTTCAAAAATATTCAGGGGTAGACATGTGGGTTGTCTAGGAAAATCCAACAAAATTGAAAGCCCACAAGCAGCAATACAGCTTGTGGGCCCAACACCAAAGCATAATGTACATCATGCAAGCTTTTGAAACTACATTGGTTTTTTCATCAGGAAACCAATTTTAAATTATTTAAATAATTTTAAATAATTTTAAATTATTCAAGAGAAAAATGGTGGTGATGTTTATTTATTTATTTATTTGCCACACTTTTATCCCACGCTTTTCAGCCCAAAGGCGACACAGACTGGCAACAATTCGATGCCAAACACACAAATACATCGTTTAAAACAGGTTAAATCACATAATAAAATTCATATAAAAACAAATTAAAGCTATAAAAATCAATGACTTCCGGGTTTAAATCTATGTCCATTTGCATCATTAAGCCGTTCCATATTCATTCACAATACTGAGTTTATCTGGTTACAGTGAGGTTCCAAAAGCTTGCTCGAAGAGCCAGGTTCTTACTCTTTTCCTAAAGGTCAGGAGGGAGGGGGCCGATCTAATATCCTCAGGAAGGGAGTTACACAGCCGAGGGCCACCACTGAAAAAGCCCTGTCCCTCGTCCCCGCCAAGTGTGCCTGTGAGGCAGGTGGGATCGAGAGCAGGGCCTCCCCAGATGATCTTAAATTCCTGGAAGGTTCATAACGGGAGACACGTTCGGATAGGTAAGTTGGGCCGGAGCTGTTAAGGGCTTTATAGGCCAAAGCCAGCACTTTAAATTGTGCCCAGTAGCAAATTAGGAGCTAGTGGAGCTGGTGCAACAGGGGTGTTGTATGCTCCTTGAGCGCTGCTCCTGTTAGCTGGACCATTTGCAGCTTTTGAAGTTTTCAAAAGCAACCCCACGTAGAGAGCATTGCAGTAGTCTATACGGGATGTAACTAGAGCGTGGACTACTGTGGCCAAGTCAGACTTCCCAAGGTACAGGCACAGCTGATGCACAAGCTTTAACTGTGCAAATGCTCCCCTGCTCACCTCTGAAATCTGAGGTTCCAGACTCAGCGATAAATCCAGGATCACACCCAAGCTGTGAACCTGCATCTTCAGGGGCAGAGTAATCCCATCCAACACAGGCTGGAACCCTATGCCCTGTTCAACCTTATGACTGTAATCTTAACAGATTACAGACCTACATTCTGTCTTTGACATTGTCAGTTAAGGTATTGAGGAACTTCTTTCCAAGCAGAAGCAACTCCCTTTATTGGCATTGCTAGAAGTCAGGACGAAACAATCACAATTGTCATAGTACAAGAGTGAGAGTGAATTCTGGATATCTGTACTTATGGAGGGGCTGTGTTTCTGTTAGATATTCCCACATTTGATAAAACTAGAATTAAAATAGTTCCAAGAAGATAGTTTTGTATATGCTTTGGAGAGAATTGTGTTTGCTTTGTTGTTTAATGCAAAAATCATTAGGAAAGTCTGAAAAAAGATATAGAGTGTTGAAAATTGTTAACAGATGGGTTTGAAGATGTAAATATCTGCTTCATCTTATTTTTATTTATGTTTTTGTTTCAGGGATCACAAGATTTGACCTATTAGGTGACTTTGGAAGGTTTAACTGGCTGGGAAACTTCTACATCGTCTTTCTCTACAACATGCTGTTTGCTGGCCTGACTACTCTTTGCCTGGTGAAGAAATTTACTTGGGCAGTACAAGCTGAACTCATCAGGGCCTTTGGTAAGTAGGGTCTTTTCACCAAAGCTCTTCTACGTACACTTTGTGCTCATAATAGGAGACAAGGATCATTAAATGGGCTGATTCCAAATGTGGAGGTAACAGGTTGCAAGTAGCAGTATTCCTTTTGCATTAAGACATTCTTTTTGCAAATAATGTAAGGATTGATAGTGTTATTCATGTAAGTGGTAACCCAAAGTCTTTGCAAGTAGCAAATGTGTTACATTTTGGGACTATAAGCATATAGACCACATGTGTCAAATAAAAGACCTGTAGGCCTAATCTAGCCCACCACATTGTTTCATGTGTCCCGTGAAGTGTTCAATGCCAGGACAAAATAGTTACCGTATATACTCAAGTATAAGCCTGGGTTTTCAGCCCATTTTTAGGCTGAAGATGCCCCCCTTGGCTTATACTCGAGTCAAGGTTATTTATTATTTTACTCTGTTATTATTTGTATTTTTATTACATGTATTATTTTACTCTATTTATTATTATTATTACATTTACATTATTTTACTATATTATTATTGTTATTACAGTTATTTTACTCTGTTATTATTATTAATAATAATATTATTATATGTATTATTTTACTGTATTATTACTGTTATTACATTTTCGTTATTTTACTCTATTATTGTTATTTTTATTACATTATTTTATTGGAAGGCTACATAAGCACATTTACATTGAAGAAGGTTAGACTAATGGTTTAATCGGAGTTGGGCAGTCTTATCTTAAATTACAGTCTTATGTAAATATCCAAAAACATTCAACCTACTGATGCCTCAATTAATGTAATTTTATTGGTATCTATTTTTATTTTGAAATGTATCACTAGCTGCTGCATTTCCCACCCTCGGCTTATACTCAAGTCAATACATTTTCCCAGTTTTTTTGTGGTAAAATTCTCAGCTTATACTCGGGTCAGCTTATACTCGAGTCTATGTGGTACATTTATACAGTCTTATAATTACGAATGGCCTTTTTGAAGGCAACCATAAGACTCATGTGACCCTTGGTGAAAATGAATTTGACACTTTTAATATTACAGACTGTTTCTTTTAAAGTTCTATTTTCTTCCTGCCAATGAGTAACTCAACAAGGCTTTAATTGTAGCAAGTTACATAGCAAATTACTTTTTAATGGTGTCTTCCACACTGGTTAGTTAACAATGAATTGAGTAAACCATAGCTAGAAGAAGAGGAAAATTGTCCCATTAGTCCTGTATTTTAGGGCTGACTATACGTGGCGGGTGGGCCTTGGATCGCTGAGAATGTCATACTTGGAACATTACGGCCCTTCCACCACGATTTGCCAGTTCATAGCCCAAACAATTTTAATTGCCACCTTATATGTCAGGAATGTGTCTACATCCATCTAGTCTGTTGCTTTTTATCTTCCTCATGATTTTTTTTTATTGGTGGTACATCTGCAACACATTAAGAATGCCACACGCAGATATATATATATATATATATATATATATATATATATATATATATATATATAATTTTATTTCTGGACCCAAAGTGGTTCCTAAAGATATTCAATCAAAAACCTAATAATATATTAAAAAAACACTTAATAACAAAACAATGAAATAGGAAAAGGAATTTTAAAGCAGCTCTTTAGTGTCTACTTGTCTGGGTAGCAAGATGAAAAGCTGCCAGCATTGGTGTCTAATGCATCTCCTTGTTCCTCCCTCTCTTCTTCCTCCCAGGGCTCCACAAGCTGCCTCTCCCTGTGACCCGGTCACACCTCCCAAGTAAGCTCAGCTAGAATTGGTCTTGATCCCTGGATGAGATGTGACCTGGCAGCCATGCTTGCCTCCTGTCACAGGGGTATCCTTACTTTGACCACCATGATTGTGCTTCTCCTGTTCTGAGCCATCAGATTGCAGCAGAAGAGGGCAGGACACCTTTCCTTGCTGCACCCTCCTTTTGACCAGTGATTTGACCAAACCGAAGGATGGGAAAGTGAAGTCTTTGGCGGCTTGGTTTTTGTGTCTCTGCAATTCAGAAGCCTGAGGAGGAGAAGGAAAACGAGATAGCAATTGGCTCAACGTGTTCTGAATAGCTCACTCGCTTCCTTAAGGCCTCCTTGTCTATCCGCTGAAGGAGCACCTTGCAGTGGAGACTGCAGAACCAAGGTGGAAGTACTAGATGTTGGAGAAAGAGGAATTGGACAATCCAGAAGAGTGATACTGGAAGCAAAGCAAAGGTGCAGGCTGTTGGTGAAAGTGCCTGGTGTCCTTCCATAGTCCTGGCAGAGGAGCCTGCATTTCACAGCTCTTGCTTCCCCCGTGTTTACATTTGACATTGTATTAAGCCTTGTGTCTTCATAGGCCTCCTTTCTCTTGCTAAATCCTGTGGCCCAAACCAGCCTGGTTTGAGTTTTGAGCCAGTTCTGAGTAGCAGTTTGAACTTTGTTCCATGTTTACATACCTCACTCAAGTGCAATACAAGCTGGCGCTACTGGGGCCGTGCTGCCCTGGCTTTCCATTCAGCTGCCCTTTGTATATATGTTATATCTGTTTTGTTTTGTTTAGTAATATGTGTTGTTGTTTATGCTTAATTCTTCCACCACGGCGGGCATCCAAGAAATGCTCCAGTATTCTGGGTAACTGTAAATCAGCTTTGCCTTCTTGGGTTTCCTCCTGCCCAGCAGTTAGGGATGCAGCCCTTTCTGCCTGGCAGAATGGAAAACTAGCCACCAATGCCTTCCCTTCATTCCTGGCCCATTTTGGACTTAGAGAAGCTCCCTAGAAGATCAAAACAGCTCCCATGCTTTCCCCTGTTGTCCATAATGCTGGTGGGAACAAATTCTCCACAGAGATGGATTTCATAGCAAGTCTGTCAAGCTTTTCATTAATGCTCTACTTACATGAAGCTGTTCTGATTCTCACTACACTGAGATGTTCTGCCTGTTACTTCACCATACAAATCAAGAAGAATAAAAATGGAGGGTTGTACTTCCACCACTCCCGACTCTTGGCAGTGATACTAAGAGAACCACTGGTTGCCTTTCCTCGATCTAAGGTCACCCAGGTTTAAGAGCAATCCCATTATTGCATGCAGGGCATAGAAGAGGACAGGGGTTTAGAGCAGGCATGGGCAAACATTGGCCCTCCATGCATTTTGGACTACAACTCCTACAATTCCTAACAGCTGGTAGGCTTTTGGGTATTGTGGGAGTTGAAGTCCAAAATGCCTGAAGGGCTGAAGTTTGCCCATGCCTGGCTTAGAGTATGAGTTTGCTTGGTGTTGAGGCAGAGAGTGAAAAAGTGAAAAGGCTTAGGTGTGCGATGAAATGGAAGTATGGAAGAGCAGTTCAAGAGGAAACAACTTCCCCTTAGTTCATTACTCATAGGCTTTTTACCACTTCCATTGCTCTCCCTTCAAAGGCGGCAAACAGATTGCTTTCTGTTGTTGGCATCTTAACTCCATGCCAGTGGCTTCAATATTAATGCATGCCTTGAGTGTTTCAGAATCCATGGATGGTGGCATGGGCTGTTTAGTCTATGTAGGCCACTTTCATCCAGTCCTGAACAAGTGGAACATGAAGCTGTTCAACCCTCCATTTTAATTCCTTCTCTGGTTTCTTTAGGGATAGTATTTAGGTAAAAGACCCAAATTGGGTGAAGGTATGGGGACAGATATCAGAATGGTGATTGCATGCCTGGGATGGTTGTTCCTCACAACTTTGAATCTAATGTTTGGAGTTGTTCCTGCCTGTTTCCTCCACTGTGCTTGTGACAGAACTTCCCTGCTTGGATGTTGACGTGTGGTTGCCTCATAGGTGGAGAATTAGGAGCTGCAATGTGATCTAGTCCCTATAATCTCTTAAGGTTGGGACTGAAGAAAGTCCTACATTCTAAACCCAACCCAGACATATACAGGGAGCTGAATATTGATTAGTTAGTTAATTCTATTGCAGCTACATATATAATGGAATTGCAGGCTGAATGGACCAACCTAAATGAAGATGTGTAACCTTTGCCTTCCCACTCCCAACCCCGTGGCTTTTTGGTCTCAGTACTGTACTATTTTACGGACTTTTAGCCATGTAAGCAATAAATTGCCTGGTGTTTTTATATTCTCTGGTTGCTGACTGGGAAAAGAAGCGTACTAGTAGACAATGCAAGAAACTCAGTGTGACCTTGCATACTATGCATTTTCAATCACATTTGGGGCCATTCTAGCTCATTTTATTTAAATATGACCATTGTTTACTGTGAAGGTAAAGCATTTCTAATCTAGATGGGCATTCTGGACTTTATAGTTGTGCTACACACAGATGAGCTGACAATAAACACTGACTTGAACCCAAACCCTTAAGCCAAATGATACACTTAGGTGGTTTTCTTCATCTCTTCATACTGCTAGATTTCAGTATTTCCATCTTTTCAGCTGTAGTTGTTTACTGCAAGGTTAACAGTTTCTGGGAGCTAGCCTGTTACGAGTAAGTAGGAATGCATCCACTCACGCCTTGGTTGTCAGTCTTCAGTTAAGTTGGGATCAGCATGTGGACCGTGCCCCCACTCTCATACATGAAGGGCTGTTGCAGGGGTGAGGCAACTTTGGGTTGGACCTCCAATGGTTTTAAGTTACAGGCAGGTAGATTTTGACTAGACATTAGAGGAAGTTCTTGATAGAGTTCACTTTTCAGATGGGCATACACTGGAGTTTGCTTTTAAGATGGGCATACACTGGAGTTCACTTTTCAGAGAGGCATACACTGGAGTTCGCTTTTAAAATGGGCATATATTGGAGATCACTTTTATGATGGGCATACACTGGAGTAAAATAAATTTGGACCTTGGATGTGAAAAGCTTGAGATAAAAAAAGTGTGCACAAACTTGCAATAACAGCCAACCTGAAACCAGGCTTATTCCACAAAGTATGCATTTCATGTGATCTCCAGTATCCCAGGGTTGAAAGAATTCCTTCATAGCTGCTTTGACACTGTGCAAGGCATGTGTACTCTTGGTAAGCACAGCGACCCCCTCTGTTCTGAAAACATCTCGCCCATTTCTCCCTTGATAACAGGTATTACTTCTGTTGCCATTGTCTGGATTTTTACCACACCTTGTGTCATAAGAGTGCGGTGCTGCTATCAACCCTGATGACGTTTTGAATCCTTGTATGAGCAATTAGGAGGTGACTCTGGAAAAGAAGACATTAAAGAACATTAACTGTTGCAGGTGTATGATGGCTGTCTCAGACAGCAGACACGGAGACTGCATCAAAGCATGGGGAGAGAGACCCAAATCACATTAACAGAAGAATAGAAAGGTCTGGTACTAATATAGTAAGCAATGTATGGGAAGCCAGTGTTAAGGCTTCATTCTTAGGAGAGCTGAATGCCTGCAGGCCTACAACATTCAAGCTATCGTGCATTCAGGTGCAGTGAAGAGAATTCTCAACAGTATAGAACGGGTCCTCAAACTAAGGCCCGGGGGCCGGATGCGGCCCTCCAAGGTCATTTACCCGGCCCTCGCTCAGGGTCAACCTAAGTCTGAAATGACTTGAAAGCACATAACAACAACAACAATCCTATCTCATCAGCCAAAAGCAGGCCCACATTTCTCATTGAAATACTAATAAGTTTATATTTGTTAACATTGTTCCTCATTTTAATTATTGTATTGTTTTTAAGTGTTTTTTTACACTACAAATAAGATATGTGCAGTGTGCATAGTAATTCATGGGATGTTTTTTTTCAAATTATAATCCGGCCCTCCAACAGTTTGGGGGACTGTGACCCGGCCCTCTGTTCAAAAAGTTTGGGGACTCCTGGTATAGAAGAAAACTCACGTACAGTCCAGTCAGCTAACTGTACATGGAATGGAAGAAGAGGCTGCCATTTTAGTCTTTGCTTCAAGCATAGGAATGCCTTGGGCCAGCCAGTGCATGCACTGCGTTAGAGAAGGGCGCAAAGCAAGCCTTCATCTGTCACACATTTAATATGTTATAGGGATGAATGGAAGTTACAAGCGGATTTAAAGTGGATTCATTCTCTAGTGTGATGAGGAGGTTCAAAGAGGGCAGGCAGTCAGGGTTTGACCGCCATTGGCGCGGCCTGGCCAGCAGAGGGCGCGCGAGAGCCGCGAGGAGCCCTTCCAGGTGTGGAGACGGGACGGGGATGCGGCGTCGGCGTCGGCGGGGTTTGTTCTCCTCGCTCTTGTCTCTCTCGCCTGAAGATGCTCTCCTTCCCTTCCGTCGGCGGTGGTCCCCTTTCGGAGGGAATGGGCGCCTTGGAGGCCACCCAAGCCCTTGGTGGGGCATGTGGGGCCGCCATGGTCCCTCGTGGGAGGCGGACTCGAAGGCGGAGCGACGGAGGGACCCGAGTGGGTTGGCACTGGCCGGAGAAGAGGCTCTCTGCCCAGGGAGAGGACCTAGAGGCCCAGAGGACCCCCCTCGGCATCTGGAGAGCTGCTGATGCCCAGTGGGGCCTGGAGTTGGCACTGGGAGGGGAGAGGGGCTCAGTGGGAGAGAGCAGGAGCCATGTGCCCTGGCACCACTAGGCTCTGAAGGTGCCAAGGATGCCCACTCCCCCGCTTGGCTCCAGTTGAGGGCTCTGCTTGGTCGGACATGGCCTTGCCCTGCTTGCCCTGGCTCTGCTTGGCCGGCTGCCTCCTGCTGCCCTTGGCCCAGGGCTGTGGCCCCGGGAGAGGTCCCCCGGGCAGGAAGCCCCACGGGCGCAAGAACTTGACCCCGCTGCAGTACAAGCAGTTTGTGCCCGCCGTGGCAGAGCAGACCCTGGGGGCCAGTGGGAAGGCCGAGGGCAAGGTGGGCCGCCACTCCCCGCGCTTCAAGGACCTGGTGCCCAACTACAACCCGGACATCATCTTCAAGGACGAGGAGAACACGGGCGCGGACCGGCTCATGACAGAGGTGGGTGCCACTCATATACACACAGCTTGCCAGCACAGGACTCTTTCACTCTGAGCAACACCTGGCTTAACCCAATCTAGAGGTGCATCTACACTGTAGAATAGATGCACCGTGACACAGCTTCAACTGGGCCACCGTAACCTTTGGCACATGATGAGAAAGGTAGTTGGTTTTGCTGTCCTCCAAATGAAGGTGAAACACAACTCTCAAGAGGGCTGCATTTTAGCTAAACCCAATGAAGTGGGGCTGGTCTGTTCCTAAGTGGAAAGAGTTCGTGATAATAGTCATCCCGATTGTTTAGCTGTGAAGTGTATCCTGTCTTTTGATGACAGTGTTTCCATTTTTTATAAATGCTTTCTTTTCCTCTCCAAACTGAACTTTTTAAAAACAGATCACTAGTTTAGTATATGGTGGGAAAGCTCTGGAGGCCATTTATCTGTGTGTAAGCAAAGCATTTGATACGGTAATGGGGAAAGGTTTCCCTAAGACATTAAGTCTAGCCGTGTCCAACTCTGGGGAGTGGTGCTCATCTCTATTTCTAAGCCAAAGAGGCCTCCAAGATCATGTGGCCAGCATGACCGCGTGGAGCACCGTTACCTTCCTGCCAGAGTGGCACCTATTGATCTACTCACATTTGCATGTTTTGGAACTGCTAGGTTGGCAGAAGCTGCAGCTAACAACAGGAGCTCATCCCATTCCACTGATTCAAACCTTTCAGTCTGCAAGTTCAGCAGCTTAGCTATTTAACCTGCTGTACCACCGTCATAATATTTTGATTAAATGTGAAATAGATGAGGACACTGCCAGATGAATCCATAACTGGTTGCAAAATCATATTTAAAGAGTTGTCATCAGTGGCTTCTCATCAAACTGGGAGGAAGTCTTGAGAGGCATGCCTCAATGTTCTGCTCCAGGGCGACTGCTGCCATCATCATCATCATCATCATCATCATCATCATTATTATTTGTTTGTTTGTTTGTTATACAACAAGATTAGTACACAGAAGTGGGTTAAACCCCTGTGCCGGCAGGACTGAAGACCAACAGGTCACAGGTTCGAATCCGGGGAGAGGCGGATGAGCTCCCTCTATCAACTCCAGCTCCTCATGTGGGACATGAGAGAAGCCTCCCACAAGGATGATAAAAACATCAAATCATCCAGGCCTCCCCTGGGCAATGTCCTTGCAGATGGCCAATTCTCTCACACCGGAAGCTTTTAAATGCAGGCCAAGGTCTTTAGGCACTGCACCCAGTGTGCCAATCACCACTGGGACCACTTTTACTTGCTTGTACTAGAGAATTTGCAGTTCGATTTTTAAGTCCTCGAATCATGTAAGCTTTTCCAGTTGTTTCTTGTCAATTCTGCTGTCGCCTGGGATTGCAACATCAACGATCCATACTTTTGTTTTTCCCCACAATTGTGAGGTCAGGAGTATTGTGCTCCAAAACTCTGTCAGTCTGAATTCGGAAGACCCAGACTATTATTATTATTATTATTATTTTGTTACTCTTAAACATTTTTATCAGTGAATGGTGGAGGGAATCCTGATTAAGTTTGTAGGTAACATAAAACTGGGATGGGTGGCTAACACATTGGAATATAAGTTCAAAATTTAACAGGACCTAAATGAAGTAGAATAGAAATTAATAACATGAAATTCAGTAGAGGAAAATGCAAAATCCAGCATTGAGGCACAAATACCATATGTATAAGCATCGGATGGGAGGATACATGGCTCATCATGCAAAAAGGACCTTGGGATTATTGTTGATCCTTAGCTGAGTAAGGTTCCTCATTTTCAAAAGGATATACAGGCATCCTTTGGTTCTCAACTGTTTGCTTTTCGGTGACCCACCCTTTTGACCCTTTTAAATTATAGCACTATGTAACACGATGTTGTCCCTGGGTTATAAATGCCACTTCCTAATTGGTTCTGTCATAAAAGCATGGCAAAAGTTTATTTAACTGCAAAACTTTGTTTTTACGGGGCATTCTGCAGCTCACTTTGCTATAGTTTTTCAATAGATATCTCATAGAGTCTCAACCAATTCAACATAGTTTGTGGCAGCCACAAAAACAAAGTTTTCTGGAGTATAACAACTATTTTCAAAGTAAGTGCTACACAATTAAACTGGAAATAATACTTTCAAATCAGGAACTAAAACTTCTTGACCATAGCCTTCCATGCATTCCTGCAACAATGTGCTACTTTTTTCTCAATTGTTTCTCTCACACATGCAGAACCAAGTTTTTAGAAAGTTTTTTATAAGTATGAAGCTAAAAAAATACTTCTTGACAGAGAGAGTGGAACCAATTGCCCAGCAAGGTGGTGGGTTTCCTTCTCTGGACATCTTTTTTTAAAGGCTGTTTTCGTTGGAGACCCTGCATGGAGCAGGAGATTTAATTCAATGGTCTACAAGGCCCTTTCCAACTCTATGATGCTGTGATTCAAGACTCTTCTTATAGCCTACTAGCTGTCCCCTGCCACGCGTTGTGTGGCCCAGTCTGTGTATATGTGTTTTGTGTGTGTATATATGTGTATATATATTTGTGTATATATGTTTGTTTGTGTATATATGTGGTTTTGCACATGCATTATAAATTTTGTTTTGTTTTTTGGCTTTTAAGTCTCTTCTGCTCTGTTTTTCAGTGTTTTTATAAGTGATGGTCACTTGTTGGCCTGTATTGTGTCCAAGTTTGGTGTCAATTCGTCCAGTGGTTTTTGAGTTATGTTAATCACACAAACGAACATTACATTTTTATTTATCTAGAGGACGAGCTGTATCCGGCTATGCATTGCTATGGCCCTCAGAAAACAGAAGATTTCCAGTCATGAAGCAATCTAGGCTAGGGAACTCCTTCCACCAAAGGTTTCCTGCTGGCTAGTAGAAGCCAGGCTTTTAAGGTGCTAGGCTATTCAAAGGTAATCCAGGTGGACAATTGCAACATTGACACTTGGCTCAAGTAGAAATGGAGGGGGGTGGGGCCCTGGAGTCGTTTTCGCACATGCGCTGTAATGTCTTTTTTATTTTTTAGGGTTTTAAAGTCCTTTCTGCCATTTTTTTTTAAACGAATGATGGTTGCTCGTTGGCCTGATAGGTGTCTTGTGGCCAAATTTGGTGTCAATTCATCCAGTGGTTTTTAGTTATGTTAATCCCACAAATTAGCATTACATTTTTATTTATATAGATGGAGAAATGTCTGCTAAGGGTGTACACAATGGTTATATGTTCTGGCATACCTCTTCCCTTTGCTGTAGTTATGCATCTTCACGTTAACTCCAACATGGTGACGCTCTTACGGGATTTCTTGGCAGGAATTGTCTGGAGAGTCTGCCATTGCTTTCCTCTAAGACAGAGAGTATGGTTTGTCCAGGGTCATCCAACTCAGTGAGGAGGGAGTCAAACTTAGATCTTCCAGGGTCAACATGTAGAACTAAGACCACAACACCATACTGGTTGCCACCACCTTAAATTCTGCTTTACCAAACTGTCTTTTGAGGTACAAATTCCTCCCTTTACCATGATAATAGGGTAAAGGTAAAGCTTTTCCCCTGACATTAAGTCCAGTCATGTCCGATTCTGAGGGTTGGTTCTCATCTTCATTTCTAAGTCAAAGAGCCGGCGTTGTCCGTAGACACTTCCAAGGTCATGTGGCCGGCATGACTGCCTGGAATGCTGTTACCTTCCCGCTGGAGCGGTACCTATTTTTTTAAAATATATTTTATTAAGGTTTTCAAATAACAATAAAAGAGGGGGAACATATATTTGGTATAGGAAATTTGGAAAATATAGAAATGGTATAAAGAAGAAGAAGAAGAAGAAGAAGAAGAAGAAGAAGAAGAAGAAGAAGAAGAAGAAGGAAGAAAGAAAGAAAGAAAGAAAGAAAGAAAGAAAGGAAGGAAGGAAGAAAGAAAGAAAGAAAGAAAGAAAGAAAGAAAGAAAGAAAGAAAGAAAGAAAGAAAGGAAGGAAGAAAAGATAAGATGACAAGAAAAATCATCATTGGGGTTAAGTTTTGGGTTTGGGTATAGTACTTTGTTTGACTTCCAATCTTCTTCACCTCGGATAAATCCTTCGTTTTTGATCATTTAGTCACTCATGGTTGTTTGGCAAACTTCTTTCCATAGTCTCTCTTAAGAGCGATTATTATTTGGATTTATCTTATATCTATTATCCACTTAAGGTTTTCTTGCATCATAATTTTTTTTATTGGTGTCCAGTCTGTCCTGGATATTTTTATATTCTGCTTTATGCTCATCTGTTGGGTTAGTTTGTCCATATTCATGATGTCTAGGATTTTCGTTAGCCATTGTTCTTGAGATGGAGCGGTACCTATTGATCTACTCACATTTGCATGTTTTCGAACTGCTAGGTTGGCAGAAGCTGGGGCTAACAGCGGGAGCTCACCCTGCTTCCCAGATTCAAACCTGTGACCTTTCAAGTCAACAAGTTTAGAGCTCAGCGGTTTAACCCACTGTGCCACCAGGGGCTCCACTATGACAATAGAGACCTTGCATTTTTGGAGTGTAGGCCTGCATGTCCTGCATATATGTGGAAGTGAAAGAACGAGGAGGTTAGCCACGGAACATGCTGCTATCATAAGCCACAAATGACATGATCGCCCACATTTAATTCAAGTGCACAGTTTCTTTCTCTAAATGGTTACATTGTAAAAAATGTAACCTTCTGGAAAATGTTTATGGGCTTCTCTCGATTCTGCAATATGAGTCTGCCCAAGTATAATTACGGGGTTCACTATTATCCAGTGACAGATTTCCATGGGGGTCTTGGGATGTATCTCTTGTAGATATGGGGATAGTCCTTATAGTCCTTCCTGTTTGCCTACAATGGTTGGATAGTGATGAAGCAAGGGGGAAAAAAGCCCTTCCACACTAAGGCCTGCCCCAGAAGAGGTGATAAGATCCTGTTTGCTCTATGTTAGGGATGCTGTGTGAATTGTTTGGGGGGGAAGGAGAGTAGAGAAGGGGTGGCCTTCCTT